GTTTGTTTGTTTGTTTGTTTGTTTGTTTGTTTGTTTGTTTGTTTGTTTGTTTGTTTGTTTGTTTGTTTGTTGCATTATGAATGAAAGGGCTCTCCATAATTTTTATGGAGTGTAACATAATTTAATACACACTGAGTTTTAAAGTAGTATGTGCTATTTTAATGCATTGTATGTGGTCTCTGTTTGCACCTAAGATTAAGTTTTTACTGAAAATAAACTCTATGTTTTTAATTTTGGCTGCTCCCTTCTGCWGAGGTTCCACAGCAAACAAACTCAGACAAGAAATTTTAGAATTGTTTAATGCAGGTTCTTCCTGGAGCAACTTGAACTTGAACCGACTGCAACAGGATGATGAAACTGAAGCAGTAACCCCATATCTAAAATACTGAATCTTTGATTCCACTTAAATTTTGCTTTATATTTACATCATTCATCAAATCAAAGTCTGAGTTTTGTTTGGGTCAAATCTTAAAAGAAACACAAATTCAAATTGTCCAAAAGTTTAACTTAATAAAGTTAAAGTGTAATTAAGCACAAGTGATTTAAATATTAGAACAGAAGTGTTTTCAGATTAACTGGCTGGTGAGATAAACAAACACCTCATCAATATGTTTTGATGCATCTCAAGAAAAATCTAAAAATATATTTTTTAAAAAGGATAAGAAGTTGAGAAGGTTCTCTGGGCGGGCCTACTCAACTTCTTTTTATTAGGATCTCATCAATAAAAATTGTTTGATTCTTATTTTAAAAATGTTGTGGTTGTTTTTCTCACAGTGTGTTCCATGTCTTTCAGAATATTTCTGCTGAGTGACTAAAAACTTTCAGCCAACTTTAAAGTTTTCTGTATTTTTCCCAGCTGAGGTGCTGTCTGTCACCCTGACTCAAACCCAACAGTACAGTTGTTTGATCACAAGAAGTCACTGTTGCTCATGAAGCAGGTCCYTCATTCAGGTGCTGTGACAGCCATCTGATAGTTTACTTCTCTTAAATTCAGTTAGTTCTTTTTATTCTTTATTTTTAGAACAGAGTTGGGTTTTTTTTCTTCCTGCAACAGAAAAACAAACTCTTCTGTTATTTACTTTTTWTGCAGAAATGACATGTTCTTTTTTTGTGGTTCATTCCAGTGTTTGTTCCTCTTTACAGACACGTGATTTGTCTCAAATGCTCATAGTTTAATCCTTCTCTTGCATGCGCTGCTTGTCTCCGACCCAGAAGTGAAACTCTTCAGAGCCGTTTTTGTGTAACTTGGTAAGTTGTTGTTTTATTTTTAGTTAGTTTAAAATGAGGCCAACAAAACCAGGATTATGATTGTCTAAAATGAGTTTTTATTTTTTAGTTTCATTTCCACCATCTGTAGTTGTGCAGAATGAGAACCTGCAACAGATTATCTCACCTGCTTCTAGAGATGATTTCCTTCATGTTATTTCCAGGTAAAAAACTGGTTTTAAAATTAATTAAATATTTGAAATTAGTGGCGACTTCTGCAGCGTTTTTCATTATGAGTTCAGGACAGTAACATTTAAATAACTTTATTTAAAATTGATTTGATTTATTTATACTGAATTATTTTACAAAAAAAAACTGTGTATGCTGTGTGTGTTTGGAGTAATTTTGAATTTAATAAATGTAAAAAAATACYCAATTTTAACACTGTCTTAAGACAGCAAAACTAATATGTTTTATCTTTACTTTTGTTTCTCTTGCAATCTTATGTCTAATAATAATTTATTGTTATAGCTTTTGAGGCACAAAAACTGGAAGTCCCTCCTGGAGTAACTGGATCACTCGGCAGTAARGTTACCCTGCCGTGCCTCTTCATCCATCCATCACCAACACCCCAGATAAATCAGGTTCAGTGGAATTTCATCCAGCAAGAAAAAAGTATCATAATTCTTGTTTTTCACCATCAACATGGAATGACAATTCATGACTCTCATCTGATGGGCAGAGTAAATATTTCAGCACAGTCACTGACAATTACTGATGTGAAAGCCTCAGATGAAGGGTCCTACATCTGTAAGATCGCTACTTATCCTACGGGTTCATTTGAAGGAACGACCATCCTTACTATTGTTGGTGAGTAAAATGTTTGTATTTGTAAAGCATGAACACAATTCTTAAATG